AAAATCTAAACAAACCAATTTCCATAGGAAAAATAGAAGAAATTGGCAAAGTGCTCTCCCCACAAATTACCAAAATATGTGATTTCACAGGTCATTGCTACTAAACTTTTAAACAACAGCTAACTCTAATGCTTAGCAAGAGAACCAAAAACGGGAAGAAAAATTCTGAATCGTTTCTGTCAAGCTAATAATATCTGATCAAGATTGCCACAAAGAAAGAAAACAAAAGCCCTGATTCACAAAAATTTTTTTTTTTTTTGCAACTGAGTCTTGCTCTGTTGCCAGGCTGGAGTGCAGTGACTCGATCTCGGCTCACTGCAACCTCCTCCTCCCAGGTTCAAGCGATTCTCCTGCCTCAGCCTGCCGAGTAGCTGGGACTCTAGGCACAGGCCACCACGCCCAGCTGTTTTGTATTTTTAGTAGAGACAGGGTTTCACCATGTTGGCCAGGATAGTCTCGATCGCTTGACCTCGTGATCCGCCCTCCTGGCTTCCCAAAGTGCCGGAATTACAGGCGTGAGCCACCGCGCCTGACCCACAAAAGAATATTAATGTAAAAATCCTAAGTAAAATCCTATCCATGCAAATTTAATACAGTAATGGATTCATATACTATAACCAGATGTTTAACATTGGGACATCTAATTATGTGATTAATCATCTGACTGGCTCTAGGGAGGAGTCCTATGGAGGAAAATCATATTTTCCATAGATGCTGAAAAGGCTTTGGTCAAAATTAAGCACATTCCTTGTGAGGGGAAAAGAAAAGGAATAACTAGATGCTTTCTTAACATAATAAGATTTACCTCAACGTAATAAATCTGTCTCTGCCTAAAAGCCAGCATCATGCTAAGGTGGGAGCTACCAGAAGTATTTAATATGGTACTGGAGGTATTGCCAATGGAATTAAATGTACACATAAATATTGGAAAGGAGATAGCACTAGCACTATTTGCAAATGTGATCAAATTCCAGAAAAACCTAACAGAATCAACTAAAAGCTACTAGGAATAATAAGGACATTTAGTAAAGACTTTTTGCATACAAATTAGTCACAGAAATGAAACAGGAAGATTGCATATAATAGCTACCACCACATGGCACTTCTCATGGGCCAGACACTGTTGTCAGGGTTTTATGTATATTAAGCCTTGTAATCTTCATCACAACCCTATAAGGTATATACCATTAGTATCTCCATTTAGAAATAAGGAAATGGAGTCATAGAAAGTAAGTCCTTCTTGGTCACAACTGGGCAGAATTTAAGCCCAGGCAGCCTAAGCCCCAGAATCCATGCTTTTTACCACTAGGCCATACTGGTTCTTGATACTTAAAAGAGGAGGTGAGGACAATTTACAATGGCGGCAACAACAAAAAACACCTAAGTATAAATTAAACAAAAAATATGCAGTACTTATGTGAGCACTCTTTAAAATTCCCTGAAAGGATGCAAAAGGGGCTTGAACAAATGGAAAGGGATACTATGTTTTGTGTACCTATATAACTGACTAAAAACCACATTAGAAAAAGAATGGATGGGAAATAAGGCATACGAAAATTCCAAGAGGAGATCATTCTTGGAAGAAAGACAACAGGTAATTAGAAGGGCTTAGGATATTAAGGGAGAATTCTTTATACTTGAGAGAGATTTGAGGAAGTTTAAAGGCTGAGGGGGAGACCTCCAATGAAAGAGAGAAGATAAAGGAAAAAGGGAGAATAGGAGCAAAGAGATAAGGGGAAGGCAGTGGGATTTAAGGTCACAGGTGAAGGTTTAGAACACTTTTTCCATTGACACAGGAAGGAATGAGGAAAGGAATGAAGTGGATACAGGTTCTGTGGGAAGAGGAATCAACAGGAAGTTGTTCTGATTTTAATGACTTATTTTTAGGTGAAGGAAGTGGCAAGATCAGAGTAAGGGAGAGTGTGAAAAGTGGCACTGCTTTGGAATAATTGCTGAGGGGTAGGGAAAAAGGGATCAAAGATAAATAAAAGCATTGAGGAGTGATGGGCCCCCGGTAAATTGGAAGCTGAGCTTTTGTAACAGCCACAGTGTGAATAGTTTTGCAATGTTCCCCCGCTGCTGTGATGAAGATGGAGAGATGGTATTCTCAAGGGGAATTACGTTGTTGGGGTCTCATAGTTTGGGGTTCCTGGAAAGAACATGGAGCGAAAATGCTGAGGCAAAACAGTTCAATGATGGATAGGGAAGGAAATGCAACCTAAAAATTTTAACAACTAGAGGAAAATGATGGGATCTGGGGGTTAGGTATCTAAGTGAGATTAGTGACTAAGTTGGTGGAAAGGCGAAGAACTCAGGGTTTTGAGCTAAGAGAGAATTGCTGGAGATTAGGTTTACAGTGCTGGGGATCTTGTTGACAACAAGAATGTAGACATGTGTGGGAGTGGTTTAAATAGAGTGGAGGTTACTAGAGTGGAAGTCAAGAAACCACAAAAATGACCATGTTGGGCACTTCATTCTCTAGTATGATTACAAAGGAGGAATGAAGAAGAACTAGACTTAGGTGAACGTCCTCAACGAATAGAAAAAAGTGGCCTGGAAGATATTAGGTGTCACAGCAAAAAGAAAAAGGTGGTAGAGCTAGGTGAGAAAAAAGGGAGAACTTTGAACGGCAGTGAAAGAGTGAGAAAGGATGTGGAAGTAGTCTATCGGGAGAAGGGTGTGTGCCACAGTTAAGTGCATTGGTTGGGAGGACAGGCAGTTTCCACTTGAAAAATAAAAAGGACTCTAAGGGAAATGGTGTTGGATGACTTCAGATTGGGCAGAGAGAAAAGGAGCTAATTTTATTGATCATCTAATGTATGCAAAACTCTATAATATAGTCTGCACAACAGCCCTTTCATCATAATTTCCACTCTGGGAATAAAGAAGTAGATTTAGAAAGCACCAGTAATGTGCTCGCAAACACATAGTTACAAAGATTGAATCTCCAGTTAAAACCAAGTTCTAAAACAAAACAACAACAAAAAACATGGTCTTGCTCTGTCGCCCAGGCTGGAGTGCAGTGGCGTGATCTTGGCTTACTTCAACCTCCACCTTCTGGGCTCAAGTGATCCTTCCACCTCCCCAGTAACTGGGACTGCAGGCTTGCACCACTTCAACTGGCTAATTTAAATTTTTTTTTTTGTAGAAAGGAGGTCTCACTACATTGCCCAGGTTGGCCTCGGACTCCTGGGCTCAAGCTATCAATCTGCCTCAGACTCTTGTGCTGGGATGTGTGAGAGACTATGACTGGCCTGCTATTTTAATAAATACGCTTTCTTGTTTCTGTTGGGGAGGCATCATTCCAGCAAGATGGCAGACTAAAGAAGAAAACCTGTCTACTATGAATTCCTAGGAATGTCAGACAAAATAAATCAGAATTCTTTACAAGGCCTAGCTAATCTCATAAGAAATAAAAGGAAATACTCAGGTATCAGAATCAAAGAGAATGAGAAGCTCCAATGAGTATCCAATAGGATTTCCAGGAGAAAATAAAGAAAAAAACCAAAAAAGAGGGCTGATCATTTTCATAGTTGATAAATCCTAAGATTCAAGAGGCACAAGTCCCAAGCAATGTGAACAGAAACAAATTCATAGCTCAACACACATAGTAGTAAAATTGCAGAATACCAAAGACAAAATAAAAACCTTTAAAGCCTCTAGGGGAATTTATTCCAGAACAGGGAGAAGCTGGGAGCGAGATCAGTGGGAGACGGGGGATCTGTAGTGGGATGTGAACACAGCAGTGTTGGTGGGTGTGCAATGTGGCATGGGGTGACTGCATGGGCTGTGTTTTGGGCAGGAAATACTTGCAGGTTGGGGTGTTTGTATGCACCGTAGTTTCTCACTGGAGGGATTCAACTGCTCTCAGATCTGGGGGAGAGACTAGGCATCCTCTCTTTCAACTCAAGTAAGTACAGGGTAAACACTGCTCTCAGAACCTCAATAACTATTTGGTACGTGAATGAATGCAAGATAAGCATTTTAGGAATAGTGAGGCCAACCTGGTGGCCACACTTGGACTGCTGTGACTGGTCAGAGTGGGAAAAGGCCTCATAGCTTTTCATGGTATATATAGTTGTGCCTATAAATGTGATTTCATGTTCTGTTAAGAATCCAAAGCAGTACAAAATAAACACAAAACAATCTCTCACATCCTTTCTATTTTCTAAGCTGATTATAAACATTAATGAAAATTTAAATAACAATGATAAAACCCAGAGCAAAGTTTCCGGAGCCTGTATACGTGTAGTCTTGCTTGTCATAGCAAATGTGTTTCAACCACAGATGTAAGTGGCAGAATACAATCTTTACCTCCCAGTAGGATTTGATAACGTAAAAGAAATCAATTAGAATTGTCTCATTCACGCCTTATCATGTGCTGATGTTGCAAAACACCAAAAAAGAAGGATTGTAATATTTTTCTGCCTTTATCCTCTAGTTTAGGTTTAGCTGTGTAGGGTTTATCAGACCTTTCCACTCATCCAACCTGTTCTACACAATGAGTCTACCCTGAGCAAGTGCTGATCCAAAACAAAGTCCTGTTCTCCCACTGGCCATGATTAGATCACTAATGTGGCAGAAGAACCGTGATAGACGAAGACAGCTCTATTGTAAAGAAGGGCTGTAGATCTAAGCCTATACTCATGGTCTAATATTCCAATAATAAAATTCTGTAAACAGCCCACTGAAGGCGTTACATTAGAAAAAAGGACCTACAATAGAATAAACACTTTGATAAATGTTTCAACTAATTTTTATCAGTAAGTTTTGGAGGAAGAAAGCACGACACCACCATTTTCAAACATGAGGAACTGAGTCTCATCATTATATAAGCAGCCAAAGACTTCTCAATTCTTCTGTGGTAGATTGGGGTCTGGCCTAATCTGGCACCAAGCCCTTGCTCTTTCCACTGTGGCACCTGCCTTTTTATGGAGGCTGAGCCTTGAGTGCCTCTAACACCCCAGCAAGCAGGGCTGACCAGTGAGAGTCAGGGGCAGTTTGGTTTGGCATAGTTTATTATAATTAGTGTGCACATAAAACCATGTAAACTCCACAAAGTAAACTATTTACCCTCCACACTAACAAGCAGTTAGTCTGCCACGACCTTCCAGCACCCCCATTATTTTAACATATATACATTTCACAGGATGTAATAACCATACAAATAGAGTTATAATACATTCTTTAGGGAAAAAATTTTTTGGTCCATATTTTCTATTAAAAAACACGCACACACATTTTCCTCTTTGGCAAAAGAGGTTAAATCCCACCATACTTAACTCACAAAACAAACCCAAATAAAAACTACTGAACATGAGGTACAGCTGAGGTCTGGGCTGTTCTGGAATTACAGACGCCTCCTTGAGGGGAAAATCATTTCTTATAAAGTCAGATAAGTTTCCAACAGTTTCATGTCAGTAGAAAAGCTCGATTTAGACTTGGTCAGAGTCACTTTTGTATGAACATGTTCCAAATAACTTTGTTTTTCAGAGGACAATGGAAGTCACGAAAATGTGCTACTTCTGAAGAAAGTCATGAAAAGTGTGGCATCTGACCTCAGCAATATTTTTAATCTGAGGTACGAAAACATCTGACACAGCCATTCACACTAATTCCTGTGCCACCTTCATGGTCACGGGAGCTGGGTCCACCTCTTCGCATCCCCCTCTGAAGTGGAGACTAAGGAAACGGGCAGCTGCTGAGGTGTTCCTTCTTTGCTTGTTTTTAAATCTACAGTATAATTGCTAAATAAACAACCACCCTGGTGTGCTTTCCATGCTTCAAGTAATTCATTTCTTCCAGGAGAAGAATGTTAAAAATGCTTTTAGTTCTAGTTATCAAAGGAGAGGAAATGACTCACAGTAACAACAAGATTAAGTTTAAGCAGACCTGCTGCTAACACAGTATCAGATAATATACTGAAAAACATGAACATACTATTTATATACATTTTGCAACAGCTGCATTTTCCCACTTAACCTCTGTGCAGAACTAAAATCTGATAGAGCAAACTTAAGTTACTTTTATTCTTGTTAAATACAACTCTGTACAGATTACACCTTTAACACCAAAGCAGCTCAATATCACAGTCAGAGGAATGAAAAAGCCATCAGAAAATTTTCATTTTTCTAGTCCAACAAAACCCAACAGACCCACCCTAAGGGTCAGCACGAAACCAGCTGTACAATTTTGTAAACAGTATGACAGGTTGTCTCTAGGATCCTACCGAATCTCACACACACACATACACACACACACACATACTCTAGGCCAGCAGGCTCCCTTTTTCCAGTGCCTTGCGACAGCCCGACGCTCAGTACCACAGCAGGCTTCTTTCACATTGTGTTCACAAAAGGGCAGTCATGGCCGTCTGGTTGAGGGGTGTGAGGCAGTCTCTGGGGGCAGAATAGCTGTCACTTGTCCTGGGATGCGTTGGGGGCTTCTGAGAGTCAGGGTGACTGCTTTCGGTGGCGAAGGCGCTGGCGGCTTTGGGCCGGTCGTAGCCGCTGTCTGCAGGCTGCATGCTCTGTGGCCTTTGATAGTCTCCGTCGTGGGCGCCCACACCCGCTACGGGGGAGAAGCCGCCCGAGGAGAGGGAGTGTTTGTGGCCAGGCTGGGGCCCGGGGACGCGGTAGCCGCTCTGCGCGGAGAAGGTGTGGGCGCGCAGCAGGTGCCGCTCCACGATGGGCGTGGCGTACTCGGGCTCCGGGGGCGCCAGGGGCAGCGCGTACTCATGGCGGCCGGCGCGCTGCGGGCAGTCATAGTGGCCGCCAGCGTCTGTGCCCGCCCCCGACTCCTCGGTGTCCGTGTCCATGGGCCGGAAGGTGGAGCCCTTCCTCGTGACTGTCCCGGTGCCAATCATGAGAGGCTGCTGGTAATCTGAAACCACAGGATAGATGGCAGTTAGCAGGCACCGCACACGGGCCGGCCCTTCGGTGGCAGACGGGGATACTCTGCTTCAGGTTGTGGTGACTGACTCTCCTGCCGGGGGCCCTCAGGTGTCCCAGGCACTGCGGGAAAATCCTGATGTGAAAGCCATAGAAGTCACCCACAGGCAGCACACAACCGCACCGCTTGCTCAGGGAGCCTCACAGGGTCTTCTCAGAGATGGGGGCGATGACCACGTCCTGGGGCATGGGGAGATACTTCAGGGAGGAAGTGGCTCTGAAACTGGCTCTGGAGATGCTATGGAGGTGGAAATGTGGAAAAGAACAGCCCCAAGAATAGAGTTTGATATGGCCAGAGTATGAGGGACACAGAGTAGTTTGTTTATTAGGATATGAGGACCAAAGCAATAGGTCAGGGCCTAGTGGTGACAGTGAGGATGAAGCTAGGAGCTCACATTTATAGAGCTCCTACTCTGTGCCAGGCGCTATTCCAAGAGCAAAATGTTAATAATCTTCAAAAACATTCCCTGAGGTAGGGACTGTTACTCCATTTTACAAATGGGAAACCAAGGCAGGGAGAGACTAATTAACTTTTCCTAGGTCGCACAATGGGGTGATGGAAGGATTCGAACGCACATTGTGTTAGCCACATGTTAGGGCATGGAAAAGCATTGATTGTCTTGCTAGAAGTCTGGTTTAATTCTATGGGAAACGACAGACTGGCACTTTCAGAGGTAACTGTGGAGGTCGACTGAAGAAGAAAAGATCGAAAAGTGAGAGGTAAAAAAGCAAAGAGAAATGCACATAGAGGTCACAAACTAGAAAGAGGAAAGGTGACTCTTTGGGACACGAATCAGGAATTTGTTACCAATGAGAGGTGGGGTGTGAGGAAAGAGGGGAGGCAAGGACCCTTTCCAGAGCGTAAGCCTGGATGAGGCTGGGATGTGCAGTCGAGAGGCCATTAGACAAGGAATGCACAGAGCGTGGGTGCTGAGGTTTAGGAACAATGGATTCGATTGTGGGTGCTGAGGAACGGGTGACATCTGCAGGTGGAGGCATCCAGCAGGCTGCTGAGAATGATGGACTGGGGACTGAGAGGGAAGTCTGGGTGTGAGAAGCAGCATGGACAGACATACATGGAAGGGCACTGCTGGAAGTTGGGGAGGGTGTGGGACTGTTTAGGGGAGAGACTGTGGTGAGTGGGGGTTAGACAGAACCCGTGTCATTCCACATTTAAGGAGCCTGAGAAGGACCATTCAGCGAGGAAGGAGGAGAGGCTGAATTAGAAGCTGAAGGAGAATGAAAGGAGTAAGAGTACAGAAAATAGGTTCTCACTTCATGTCACTTCCAAGGAACAAGAAGATAGATTTTGGTTGCAGAGGATGCTCTCCTTGCCCACAAAGTGGCTCAACCAACACACTGACAACTCCCAGTCATTGATGTGCACATGCATCACCTGAGAGCTTCCAGTTCTATGGCCTCCCGTTCTAACAAGCCCCCAAGTGATGCCTGTACTGCAAGTCCTCAGGCTGCATGTGAGGAGGGAGAAGCGAGAGAGCACAGTGCTACTCAGAGCATGCCCCACAGAGTCCTACGTATCTGAGAACTGTTTTTAGCAGTGCCACAGACACAGATGCAGAAATTAAGTGTCAAGAAACTACTCTTAAGTTACTCTTTGTCACTCTTAGAGTAATTTTATGTCTGTTTAATCTAACAAAAAATTACAGTTTTGTATTTTGTATGTCTTTAAAATTTCCTTTTTACTAGTATTTTATATTGCAGTTTACAGTGTATTCATTCATGATGGAGTAGAAATTTTTAAAAAAGACACAAAAAGCATTTCCCCATAGATAGTTTGGGAAGCTTGACCCTTGATGATGGCTTGTCAGGGACACTGAGGCTCTTCTCATACTGAGAGGTTTCCTTTATTTCCTATCTCACCCTCCTCAGGGCAGGAACTGTATTTAATTCCTCCTTCTAGTCCCTCTTTACCAGTGCCTTAATCAAAGCTTTGGTAACAAAAATAGATTCAGGGCTTCCAGATACTAGTAGTACATCAGGGCTGTCACTATGGATGCCACTATATCCCCTGCAGGTGAACAGACTGGCTGAATAGGACTTTTAAGTAATATCTCAGAGTCAGTTTGTAATTCTGTACAGAATGCAAAGACACATTTCAGATTTATTGGACCCTATCTAAATAGAAAAGGATTTTGCTTTATTTCTCTCCTGTCTCCCTCCCCCACAAGCAGCACCTCCAATCTAACAGCATTGTCCTGGAACTATGACACTTACCTGCCATATCACTTGTGATGAGATCTAACTTTTGTGTCATTTCCTTCTCATTATCATAGCTGATGGTAAACTCAGCTGACTGATGTCTGGCAAAGGGATATTTAATCTGCTTCCAACAGTCTGGAATAAAGGTAACATGAAACAAATGAGTATGTCAGAAATGTAATGCGCATCCTCCAGAACATGTTCCTTGATGAGTCAGAGGTCAGGCTGCCTCCTGACAGCTGACAGTGATAAATGTCCTCCTCAGGTGTGTGTGCTAAGAACAGCATGTCAAGGTCGTTAACCACAACAGCAAACACTATTCTAATCATGCTTTCCGCTGTGCCTTTAAAAGGTATTTTGCCCTCATCAGATCCCAGATTCTCCCTTCGTGAGATCATCTGGCTATGGTCTCCCACAACCTGCACTGGCATGGCATCTGTGACACAGAGGAGACACTGCAGCTGGTGTTTAGACCCTGGGGAGGTGGAGTCTCAAATGGTCCCTGAGCTTTCTCAGGGGTCCTGCCCCACTGCCTTCTCTCTCTGGACCATGACTAACTCATTGCGTGGGTGCCTGTGTCTGAGAAAGTGAGAAAAAGACCAGGGAGGGCTGGTGTGCAGGATTATCTGAAACCTGCACACCAGCCCTGCCTGATCTTTTTCTCACTTCCTCAGGGTGGAAAGTACAGCACAGGCCTGCAGATGCTAACAACACAGGCTTACTTCAGTTCACTGATAAGGCTTTTGTCGTACCTCCTTGGTGGCAGACAGTGTCGTGGCCTAAACTCTAGTGGTCAAGAAAAAAGGATGTTGACAAGTGATGGGGACGACATTGAACAAAAGTAAAGTGGCCATTAAAATAAAGAAACAGGACACAATAAATTCCTTCCTTATAGATATGCTACTTTAAAAGCTATAGGGCTTATGTCTTTTAACCAAATAAATGCAGGCCACTGGCCTCCTTATGCTTTCCATCAGCAGATCCTGTCCCTTCCTCAAAGAGAGATAAAATTGTAGATAGAGTTTTCAACCAACCTGTTTTCTGAGCCTCTGCTGATCCATATGGACTTCCTTTCTTCTTCTTCCTATCAAGACAGAAAGTCCTACTGAATATTTATAAGCCACCGTATCTGCCTCTTTCTCCCTATGTAACATGAGGATCATAATAGTACTTACCTCATAGGGTTGATGTGAGAATTAAATGAGATGGCAGCTGCCATGTGCTTTAGAAAATCATACAAATATGTAGAATTATCTATAAATTTATCTCATGTATAAGAAAGGTCACAAGATTTCACAAGAATATATACTTATCTTATTTTGCATATTAGAAATCGATGCCTTTAGTTTATGACTAGCTCATGCAGTCATCCTGAAGCAATTCCTCATGACCACATGGTCTCACTTCATCTCTACTATACTCCAGTCCCAAACTGTGGGTGTCTTTAAAAGCATTTCATACAAGCACATTACACTAAGGCATGCTTTAGCTTATGAGTATCTACCTGAACCAGAGACTTTTGTACCTTCTCTCATGATGGCAGAAGCTATTCTTCATTCTATTTGTACTAATATACACATTATAGATTCTGAAGTTGCTTAAAATATAAAAAGAGAAAACTTCAGAATACTTTCCATTTCTTTTTAGATCCAACAGCTAACATTTGTTAAAATAAACATGTATTTTAGGGTTCTGGAAGAGATTCAGAACTCATCTGGGTAAACTGTATTTCATACATAAGAAAACTGAGGCTTGGGGAGGCTGAGTTATTGGGCAGCTTGGTGATACCCCAAGCAGCCTATTTAATATTCCTTTTACTCTTCGGGGAGGAAAAGCACAGATACTTCTAAAGCAATATGTCAATTTCAGGATACTTCAACAATACTCAAAGGTTAGGTCTTTACCAAAGGTCTCTAAATGACAAGAACTGCTTATAAAGTAATACATGGTGGGATGCGGTGGTTCATGCCTCAAATCCCAGTGCTTTGGGAGGCCGAGGTGGGAGGATCAAATGAGGCCAGAAGTTTGAGACCAGCCTGGGTGACAAAGCAAGATCCCATCTCTAGAAAACATAAAAAATTAGCTGGGCATGGTGGCACATGTCAGTAATCCTAGCTACTCAGGAGGTTGAGGCAAGGGGATTGCTTGAGCCCAGGAGTTTGAGTGATCTCACCACTGCACTCCAGCCTGGAAGACAGGGAGACCCTGTCTATTAAAAAAGATTAATAAAGTAATACTTGATCATTTCTTTTATCTAACCTGTTTTTAAAATATAAGTTAACATTTTATTTTGAAACAAGTCATGCTGCTTTTGTACGTATGCATTTCTGAAGAATAAACATTTTGGTTTTTTGTTTGCATAATTAGAGAAGAAATTTAAACATGTAAAGTCACCATACTTTCGAAAGGCTGCAAAGATCCCCATTCCAGCAAACACCAGGACAACAAGGAGCACCAATGGAATAGCCACCGTTGTAATGTTTATTCCTAAAGAAGAGGGAAAGCCATCACGTTACAACATAAATGACCGACAACCACATTTCATGATCTAAAACTGAACATGGAATTGAAAGTCTTTAAGTATTTAATGCAGGGGGAAAATGAATACATGCTAGGCATTTACTGATATTGGAAAGCAAAAACAAAGGATTCAAAATCTTGGCTAAAGTTTGGGAAAATAAAATTTCTCCCCCAGCCCCCCAGAGACAGTTTCCAATGTTCCTCAGGGACTAACAGGTACACTGGGCTTGTTGCTTGGCCCATATTAAACTCCAAAAATCTGAAACGAGGGGGGAGTTTAACCAACCCCCCACCCCCACCCCTCAGGTGAGAACTATTTAAGACAGGTAAATGATTTCAGCACAGTGTGGAGCTCCTACTTTGGCTCAAGCAACCCATTTCCCCAGATGGCAGGCGGGTTTGGACCTGTACCGTAACAGTAGCCTGGAAAACTGGGATCCTCATTACAGAGCTCTGGGGCTGCGGACTGACAGGAAGTGCAGCCTGATGACCTCAAACAGCATTTCCACTATGTTGCATGAAACACCACATCATGTTTTCCTACAGCTCTTTCTGCTCTAAAAAAAGGACACTTTGACAGCCACCAAGGCAGTCCCCAAGTTTGTAGAAAATACACAAAGTAAAGGAAAAATATTTCCTCTTCATCTTTCTCTTCTGTGATCTCTGGGAAGAAGATAAAGGGATGCTTAGGATGGAAAAATGCAATTCATGAAGAAGGGGAAAAGGGACTTAGATGAAAACAAAATTTGTGTATAAGTAACAGCAGTGTTATTATTTTTTTTTTCTTTTTTTTTTTTTAGAGATGGCGTCTCACTCTGTCACCCAGGCTGGAGTGCAGTGGTGTGATCTCGGCTTGGGCAACCTCCGCCCTCTGGGTTCAGGCAATTCTCCTGCCTCAGCCTCCTAAGCAGCTGGGACTACAGGCGCATGCTGCCAAGCCCAGCTAATTTTTTGTATTTTATTAGAGAGGGGGTTTCACTGTGTTGCCCAGGCTGGTCTTGAACTTCTGAGCTCAGGCAATCTGCCTGCCTCGGCCTCCCAAAGTGCGAGGATTACAGGCGTGAGCCACTGCGCCCAGCAGCGGTGTTATTTTTAAGAGTGAAAATTTGGGGAAAATCAAACAACTTCAGCATCCAACAGCAGGGAAATGGTCAAGTCAATAACGGTTTACCCATGTGAAAAATACTATAGACATTAATAACTGGGGTCTTCAACCTTCCAATAACATTGGAAAATGCTCATGACACAATGTTAAATGAAAAATATATGCTGCAGAACAGAATAATATGCTACCATTTTTGTCTTAAAGTTAGAAATATAAATATAGTTGACTGGAAACAGTGAGATTTGGTGATTATCTATGGATACTGATTTATGACTAAGTTTTGTTTTCTTATTTGTGTTTTTCTAATCTTTCCAAATCTCATAAAATTGATATGCAAATTATTTTATATTCTGAAAAAATGTACTTTTAATGTTCATTATTTGAACAGATTATACACTTACGTGTTCAAAATGCAAAAAGTATACAAAAGTATGGAATGGAATGTGTCCCTCCTACCTCTCTTCCTCCTTCACAGAAAGCTGTATTATGTTTCTTGACATTTTTCCAGAGACAATGGAATGAATATTTATTCTTTATTTCTTCTTTTTGCAGAAAGGGTGGTGTGCTACTTAAGATAGTTCTGTATTTTGCTTATTTTTTTTTAAGTTGCCTCTATATCTCAGTGAGCTTTTTATATTACCAATACATTCTTTCTTTTGTGGCTGCAGAGTGTTCCATTGCATGAATGTGCTAACATTTTATTTTTCCACAAAATACGTACCTAGTGTCTGAAGGGCACATAAGTTCATTCCTAATCTTTTTCTATTTATAACACTGCAACGAAAAGCTGTAAACATACATCATTTTACAATATGTGCCAATACCACTGGATCATCCACCTCCAGCATTTATATGACAGAGAAAAATAAATTTTGTTGAAGTTACTGATATTGGGTGGGGTACTAGTTATGCTCCTTATGAAACCACAAAACAATCACTGCTCTACCTGGGGATGTTTCTTCTGAGGGGACGGGCCTTGTGATTGTCTCATCTTCTTTCTTACTTGAAACACTGGTGCTTTGACTTGTCTTGCGCCACACCAATGAATCATTACCTGAGAGAGGAGGGATGTTGGGAAAACCACATTAGTAACAATGATAGGCAAAAAAAAATATGACCAAACTTGAGTAACTCACTGGCTTGCCCTGAGCCCTACCTTGTGTTATCTGGCAACCAATGAGCTCCACCTTCAAGGCTATCCTCTGGTGCCACGTCTGGGGGACAACACGCACATATCTGGCCACGATAGGAGGGATGAAATTGTTCTGCACTGGGTCCCGAAAGTTAGAGTTACCCTGAAACACCTATAGAAGGAAGTTATTTTTACCTTAAGATTCTATTAGTTAGTTTTTAAATGTTTATCATCCCACTTATACCTGGTTATATGAAACCAAGGCAAGGATTCTATGTCTGTTGCATTTTTCTAGACACTGTCGATATTGAAGATACGAGGCTTTGTAAACAAGGGCCAATTTATCTAACTAAGATCATGCTGCTCATCTGTTTACTGATTTAAATTTCATTTTGGATAAAGAAGCTAAAATTGCCTTGTTGTATTATTTGACCTTAATATTTCTACATTTAGCTGGTGCTACAGACAAGCAACCTCAAGAGTGCAAGGCTTCAGCTCTCTCACTTTTGCTGTTTCCTTCCAAATTCTCATTGCCACTAACAGGATCCCAAGACAAATGTCCAACTCAAATATCCACCATGCTTATACTGAAGCAGCCATTTCACATTGCCAATTATCATTTCCCAAGAAAATCACAAGTATTTCATTCCTGAAGTGGAAAAGAATTAAATCACAAATCTCTCAAGGTTTTTATTGACACATTTCTTATTCTTGCATGCCAAGAAAGCACCATCTTTTTTTTTTTTGAGATGGAATCTCGCTCTTGTCGCCCAGGCTGGAGTGCAATGGTGCAATATCGGCTCACTGCAACCTCCGCCTCCCAGGTTCAAATGATTCTCCTACCTCAGCCTCCCAAGTAGCTGGGATTACAGGGGCCAGCCACCACGTCTGGCTAATTTTTGTATTTTTAGTAGAGACAGGGTTTCACCACGTTGGCCAGGCTGGTCTCGAATTCCTGACCTCAGGTGATCCCCTTGCCTTGACCTCCCAAAGTGCTGAGATTATAAGCGTGAGCCAGCGCGACCAGCCCATCATCATTTTAAAAATTTTATTTTATTTTAGAGACAGGATCTTACTCTGTTGCCCAGGCTGTAGTGCAATAGCACAATCATTATTCACTGTAATCTTGAACTCCTGGGGTCAAGTGTTCTTCCTGCCTCAGCCTTCCAAGTATCTAGGACCACAAGTGTGCACCACATTTGAGTAATTAAAAAAAATTTTTTTTGTAGCGGTGGGATCTTGCTATGTTGCCCAGGATGGTCTCAAATGATCCTCTTGCCTTGGTCTCCCAAAGCTTGGGGATTACAGGCATGAACCACCACGCCTGGTCTGTCTTTTATTAAGGAGATATTTAATGTAAACACACTGATGAAAATATATAGAGGCCTGTTCTCCTACTCAGTTCTCTTGCCTCCAGGGTTACTTCTTACCTTTTCTTCATTATTCACAATTCCTTTATAGGTCTTCCACTTAGAATTATTGTTTTTGAAGTTCATCACAAAACTCTTAACATAAAAGTTGAAATTCGACTGTGTAGATCCTGTGGTCCTAATTCCTTGTAAGAAAATAATATTTACAGGCTATTTTTAAAAGTTTGTTAAATATAACATGTATTATAATTTCAAGTTTCATTTTTTTCTCCCTCATTTGAAACCTCAAATCATCTCACAGGCCAACTTATATTAGTTGCATTAAAAAATCTGTTCACAGATTAATGTTTTCACACTGACAATATACCATATAAAGGTTTCACCATTGAAAAAAAAATCTCTCTCTAATCCATATATCCATATTTACAACTTGCATACAGACTCTTTTCACAGAAAGAATGTAAAGATTTGTTACATTTTCAAATATTTCAAGAACTTGGAGGTAGGCAGAGAGGCACCTATGTACACAATAAGCGTATTTTCAACTGCAAGTCATTTACAGTCAGGAAACTACCCCTGCACTTTGCACTTGTGTTACTTTCTGCACCTGTTATTTTCTTTTTCTCCCCCAAATCGATCTCCAGCCACTCTCGTGGTTTGTGGTTGCTGCTACTGTCGCCTGAAGCCCATGATGGGCCCTGGTCCTGAAGTCGGGCTTGGCCAGGAGACCAGTGAACTTGGTCTCCACTCTCATTGACCGACTGCCATGAGGAAGAAGCTCTGATTTGCCCGTCAGGATCCAAACTCAAGGATCTGCTGCAACCTGGAAAAAAGAGTACAGTAAGATATTTGAGATACAGACATAAAATAACAGCAAAAAAAAAGTAGTACCCCATCTCACCTAGAAATATTCAACTGGTTGACTTTTATTCTGACATGGAATCAAGTGTTTAATTACCAGCTTTTAAATGTTCCAGACTTGCATTTCACTCATTTGTACTACCATGCCTTGAAGCTGTTACTGCTTTTCTTTTTAATAGACCTCCGAGTCACATCCTTTGTGACACCTCTTCCTCCCCACTGTAGATTTTATTTTCTAACCTTCTAAATTCATCCTGATTTCAACAAAGTGCAATCTGTATTAAAGATTTAAAATGCTGTGTTCCTTCTCACTTTAAAATATTTAGAATCAGAGGGGAACCCCATTTTTTCCACGTACTTGAAAAGCAGATGTGTCTAAGTCCTCTGAAGATCAGTAAGCTGTACCCAATATTCATCCAAAGGACCTTAACTATACCATGCCCAATATGCCAATGTGAAGTCAGCAAATAAAGGCAAAGAAGAAATATTCGTAGTGTCTTCCTTGAAATGGTTTATGCTGAGAGAGAATATTTACATTCCATGATGGAGAAGCTAAAAAGCCTTTATTCTGTATACTCATTTTCAGTAACTTTATTCAAAATAGTAACAAACCAAATTGCAATATTTGAAAGCTTTTTCTCTTAAAATCTAAGATAAAGAGATTTATCTTAAAATAAATACTTCACTTTTTACTATTTTTGGCAAAAGTTTGAGAGAGAGTTTAGATTACAAAGAAACATATTTTCTGCTTAATGTTAATTAGGCTTATTGTCCTGTGGATGGTTAAGTCAAGAAGATTTGGTGTGGGTGGCTGAAGGAAGAGGATTGCTTATGCCCAGGAGTTTGAGACCAGCCTGGGCAACATAATGAGACTCTGCTTCAAAAAAAAAAAAAAAAAAAGGTGCTATGTAACCTGAGAAAAAAAGAAAAAAAAAACATCTTTTAAACTATATAATCTGAAGGGTATGGAGGAATAAACTACTACTGAAGACTTTTAAAATATCAAATTCTTTTTTTTTTTTTTGAGACGGAGTCTCGCTCTGTCAACCAGGCTGGAGTGCAGTGGTGCAATCTCGGCTCACTGCAAGCTCCGTCTCCTGGGTTCATGCCATTCTCCTGCCTCAACCTCCTGAGTAGCTGGGACTACAGACGCCCGCCACCACGCCCACTAATTTTTTGAATTTTTAGCAGAGATGAGGTTTCACCGTGTTAGCCAGGATGGTCTCGAGCTCCTGGATCTCGTGATCCGCCTGCCTCGGCCTCCCAAAGTGCTGGGATTACAGGTGTGGGCCACCGAAAATATCAAATTCTTAAGGAAAACATGATCCTTACCATTGGAGGTAAACAGAAATCGCTTGTCTGACAGGGAACCACTGAAACAATAAAGACAAAGATGAGAAGGTGAGTTGCTTACCTAGATCTTATTGACTAATATAGCTACATCCCAGAGCTTTCCCACCTGTGCTTCCTCACAACATCCCTGCAAACCTACTGGTATTATCTTCATCATCAGTATTTTATAGAACAGGAAACTTAGACCCACAGAAGGTAAGCAACTTTCCTAAATTCATACAGGTGACAAGGGGCTAGGATTCCGAGATGCTGCTTTTGAATCAGAATCCTGTGCTATTTCCACCATGCGGAATTTATTGGAAAGGAATGTGTAAATATACAGTCTCAGGAATAACCTTACATCTCAATTAATTAATGCAAGATGATGAAGACAGAAAGGATTACTGCCCTGAAATCTCCGTTTCAGCAGTCACCTTAAAGTGTCCCACTCATTTCCATCTGCCTTCCCCACAGATCTCTCGACTCTCATTGAGGATCTTGTTTCAGCAGTGTTACTCTGGGACAGTCTCTGCCCGGTCTCTCTCTCTCCACAGCCACACTCCTACCTACTGTAGCAACCAGCACCAAGCCTTGAACCAGCTCCTGCTCCTGGATGACAAGGAACAGCTGGAGAAAACACACAGCATGTCAGTGAGCTGGCCTCACTGCCGCTTCTGTCACTATCACACGAGAAATGATCGCATCAGCCTCATTCTGCAGTTGTCTCCTTCAGTGCAGAAGAGATTCCTAAGGCCACAGGAATGTCCTTATCTACCTTTGAAGACCAGATCAACCTTTAAAATAATCCCTCACAAAGTCAGTGGTATGAAAAATACATAGAACGAATGGAAAATCTGGAGGCCTCAACATTAGCTTTATGCCCACAGTATTAGATACTAGAGGTAAACACCAAAAGGTAGATGCCCCGGTTGTGTCCAACTTTTTACAACTATTTTACAATCTCAGAGTGCTGCGTATTATTTTAAATGTTTAATTCTGAATTAGAGATGGGAATAATGGACACAAGAGAGTACTAAAACATGAAATCCACAAAGAATCCAAAAGTACTCTGGCCAAGAGTATAAGTACCTTCCCATCAAAAGCTCTTTTTAGAAGTAATGGGTAGTGAAACTTTCTAGAATAGATTTTCTCTTTCACATGGTCTATGCTTGGCAGACTCCATAAACCCTGGTATTCTACATATAGGTTCTTCTATAATCTCTGCACTGAATATAATGCAGGCACCAATCATTACTTACATGAGAAAACTCAGACCCACACGGGTCCTGGGACTTGCCTAAGTTCACGGTTAGCAAAAAAGCTTGGATGAGAACTCAACTCTCCTGACACGTAGAGAAAGGCGCTAATCATATTAAAATTGTATTAAGATTTATGTAGAACCTCTTTTTTGTCTCTTTTTCCATTTTCTCTAATGTTCCTGCGCTGTTAAATTTGAAATGTGGCTCAAATAAGCCTAAATAATGCTGCGACAACCCTAAGAAACTAAGCTCACTCCCATTGCCATGAAATATTAGTTTTGTTGTTGACCAAAAAGTATGGAAAGGATAACTCTGGAGTTAATCCTGAGAAGAAACCAGGAGAAGCTCTGCTTCTAACAGCTCTCTGCCTGGCTTTCCTCTGTTATCAACTGGAAAATGTTTTTCCATTTAATTCCATTGAATGAATTAAATACAGACCACTTAAAGAACTCTATAGGTTAATAGGCCTATTCTTTTTAAAATAAAAACACCCTAGGGAGGTTAGGGTTCTGAAGCATTCACACATTAGAGTGAATGAATTCAATCAGATTACAGGAGTAAGGAGCCTTCCCAGAGGGCTACAGAAGCAATAAAGAATCATCTGATGGAAACAGAAAGAAGGTTTTTGCTTCTGATGGTTAGCACCATTGTCCTCTGTATGAGGTCAGTCCCTCTTCCTGATACCATTCTGGTCTCTTCAAATCAAGGAAATGACCTGACCGGAGATGAATCCCAGAAGAGCCCTGGATATTTACTTTAGGGACTCCTTCCTCAGCTGCAATACTTCCTTCTCTGGTTTTTCCTGAATGCCAAACAATCATGTGTGGGAACATAAGTTCAATGACCGCATGTACAGTGTTTCCCCAAGAGCAAAACAACACAGATAAAAACAACTGCTCCCTGAAGATTTCAACTCTAAATGAGTGGAAGAGGCTGTGTGAACATACAGTTAACTATTTGCTCAGTGCAAAAAGTCAGTGCAAAATCACAGATCTGGAAATAAGAAGAGATCTTGATATGATGCTGAACTTTCTATACTCCTCCCAAAATAAACATCAGACAATTAGTACAAATAACTATAAGGAATATGAAGCAAAACCTTTTCTAATTCATTAATGGTTTAGATTTCTGTACTCTGCTTTTTGCATGGAAGTTTAACTTCAAATTATATAAAATATATAAAATTATATAAATTATATATGTAAAATTATATAATTATATATTATAAAATATATAATATACACTTTTAAAATTATATAAAATATTATATATGTATTAAGTCTAGTCAACATAGCAGAAGTTAACTGAGAACATAAAGTCCAATTTATTCAATAGTTTTAATAATGCTTGTTCAAAAGTAAGATAAAATCCAAGTTAAACTTTTTGTTATCCTGTTTTCCTACAAAAAGAGCATTCAAATGTATACAAATACAGACAAATGATTCCAAAAAACAGATTGAAAGCCAAAGGGTAGTTCTTTGTTCCTGTCTGGAGGTGGTAGCACCTAACAAATTCAGGCTAGAGCCTGTTATCTTCCTGAAGTAGCACCCTTGTATCAACAGAAGAAACCATCAAAAAACATAAAAAACAATACATCCTCAAAAGTCAAGGTCAAGTTGGCATTTAAAGATTTACTGTGCATAAGTGATCACTTTTACTATAAATCAGGGTGTAAATTTTAAAATAAATTTTAATGTTCTGAAAAGTATGTGGCAAATATTTGTGAAAAATGTTACATATATGTGAGTATATATGTATCATTTTATTCATTTGAGTAAAGATTTTAGTTTCTAATAGCATACTGTTACTAAACTTTTGGATCTTAAACCTTGGCACAAATTTAGAGACTTATTTGTCTTTGAATGTTCAGGTAATATGAAAAGAACACTTTGCATCCTCTCATAGCTAAAAATCTATCCAGAAGGGGAAAGTAAATGGGAGGGTCATGGTAGGCAGAGAACACAAATATTGTGAGGTAAGCCTGCATGTCCAAGTGCCCGGCATGCACCGCTGTCTTTGGTGGATGGAAGTCTTTTGTGGATTACGTACAGTACTACTTGCATTGCTTGTGAAACAGTTATGTTGGAACATCTTCTGTAGTTACCCCCACCCTGACCCTGAACTCAGAATTGCCAGTGAAAGGCTCTGCCTTTTCTCCATAGACACCCACTAGCCAGCCTCCTGGCCGCGAGCATGGTGTGCCAATGGCACCATGCTAACCACCACCCCTCTCTAACATTGCTCCTCAGTCTTGACCCTACCCCTATAATCCCCCTAAGCACTGTTCCTGCCTTCCATCAAACACAAGACTCACCCTCTTCGTGAAGATGACCTAACCACCTCTCCCCCAACTTCAGTTACTGCTTCCAAATGCCACTGCCTATGAGCATGAGCCAAAAATCCCAATCATAAAATGGGTGTTAGGCCCAAAGTTTATATGTGAGTTCATAAGTTGGTTCTGCAGAACTTAAGACACATTTTCCAATAAAAGCAATGTCATAACTTGTGGTCAGGATACCTATTTGATCTATGACATTGCTAACTATAATACATTTAAATAAAAAGTAGGAGGGGGAAGGAAAACACTACTGTACAATTATCAAAATAACATCAGAGTCACCGTATCTATGCTGACTAACTTGAGAACCTATCCAAGATAAGATGGCCCACCATCCATTGTGAAAATGGAACACTAAAATATGACCATGTTCTTTCTGATGCATGAGGGGGCTAGGACAAAATAGCAGGGGCAGGGGGAGAACATCATACAGATTAATGATAGATAGAATGATAGATAGAACTAATGATAGATAGAATTCATACAGATAGAATATATAGGTCCTGACATTTTTTCCCTGACTTATGGATCCCAAAACGCCTAAAACCTCTGTCTTGTGCCTTATTCTTGGAACCCAGGCCATGTGAAAACCTGTCCAAGAAACAGAGCTGCAGAAGGCAGAAGGAGAGAATGAGAGAGAGAAATACAGTGGTTCAAGGAGCACTTTTTCCTCAGTAGGTTTCCACTCTGGGAGTGTCTCCCACTTGGCCATTCTGAGCTGCCTGTTTATATGTGTGGACGTCTGGACCACAAGGCAGACTGACACTGAGCTTTACACAGCTCTAGTTGTACACTTTCTAGTGGCTGAGGAAATCTGAAAATATGAAAAGCTTAAGTTGAACCATTTAAAGCACTTAACACATTTTTTTTTTTTTCTCATGAAGATAAAAGAGCACAGGACAAAAACAAATGAAGAATATAATGTTAACAAAGGCCATCTTTTTAAACAGTGTTAACAAAGGCCACCTTTTTTCACTTCCCAAACTCATCACTGAACGACTGTCTCTAGGAGTCTTCCAGGGAGCTCAGTGTTCTGTAAGGGTTTCAGCTGATGATAATATTGGAGACAACCAGTAATTTACTGAAGTTGTAAAAACTCAAAAAGGATTAAGCCTTTATATTCTCCCACAAAAGCACCCGAGAGTAAAAATACTCCTCTGCCCCAGGGCTTCAGAGTGCACCATTTTAATTTACATGTCAGCATAACCAGTGAGCTTTCTGATTGCTACATTTATCATCCATGCAGAGACCAGAAATGCTGCTCTAAGCACTCATGCATATTTTTCCAGTTGACAAACCCTTGCTATCATATCCCTGCTGTCTTTTCAAAGTTGTGAGCTGATTAATTATCCTTCAGGGTTACCTTCTACTCAGAACAAACGGTACTGAAAAAAAGTACTTACTCCCTCGAAAGCACACCATTGGCCAGAATCCCTTCATATCGACTGATCCCTTTGCGCTGAAGCACACTGATCTGGCCACCCAGTTCATCAGCAATTATTCCTGCATGGATGGCAGCTTTGCACAATAAAGAGGTCTGAAACACAGCAACATTATTATGCAGAACTTAAAAGAACACAGTTAAAATATAGTTGGCGTTTTCTATGTTGTTTCTGTGGTAATTTATAGCAGTGGCCCCAATGAATAAAGCCTGCCAATGGCCATGTGGAGTCATCACCTCCCTCACTGACTCTGGGCCATGTGGCTTACTTTGTTCTGCTGCAGATAACAGGGCCTAGCCAACCGCTACACATGTGACTGAAGCCACCTTAGACTCTCGAGCCCCAGTTAATCTGCCATATGATGGTAGCCACAAGAGCGATTCCAGGCTAAGGGAGCTTACTAATCCAATTCAGTGTGGGTGGAGCCCAAATTACTCACCCTCAAACTCATCAGCAAATAAAATGGCTGCTACTTCAAACCACTACGTTTTGGAGTGGCCTGTTAAGCAGAAATCGATAACAGATCCAGTTTCTTATACTTAGGCTATTAGATACACATGCCAAATTATCATTTATGAAGCTGAACTTTCAATTCCACATAATTAATTTCATTTTTAAATTAATTTAGAGATTTATCAAGGTACCAAAACGACAATGGTAATGACAGCCACAGAACATTAAATGGAACAGAAAGCTTAACAAAGTCCCTAGAGGGATGATGAGCAACTCAGGGCTGACAGCCTCCATCTCACTTCCTGAATCCCCTCAGGAGGCATCAAAAAGCCAGTGCCAGCTCAGCCCTGCGATGTTCAGTATGAGGTGTCAGCAGGCTGCTGGCTGTTCTGACAGATGCAGCAGGAGCAGCAGACTGGCTCTGCTTTACAGGCGGTTGTGGGATTGGAATCAGCTCTGTCAGGAACTGGAGCTACAGAAATGACTAGAACTTTCTATGGGGTGCCCAGGCCTGTAGGTCCCCAAACAAAGACCTCTGTGGAAGGGTGATAAGGCACTCAAACCCAGGAGTGAGGGGATAAGAAACATAATTTCCTAAATAAACCTTAGCTATGCTCCACTTCTTCATGAGTATTAATGCCAACATAGAAAGGCAGCTCATGAAATTGGGTCTCAATAACTGGACTCAAGAATTTCTCTTTTTGTTAATGACAATGCTGCTTACCTTATTTACAATGGAAAAGTTCCCTTAGACTTAAGTTACAATACTATGAGGACTAATGAGACAAATCATATTTTGCAATTAATATATTTGCAATAAAGTTGAGAACTTTGTGATCGTCCATTTAGAGAGTTCCTATTTCCCAAACTACATTAGGTTTGGCAGAGTGAGTCAGTTTTGCAATAACTGCTATCATAACAAAAGAGAGGAAAGATTTCACGATAGAAAAAAAAAGAAAAAAACATGAGAATGCTGAAACAGAGATGCAAATACTACCCTCTCTAATTTTGGAGGAAAAAAATAATTAAAATTAGAAGAGAAAAAGATTGTACTCTTTAATAAGAATGCAGCTTGCATTATCTTTCCTGAATTTTCTGTATACTTTTCCTGAATTTTCTTTCACTAAAAAGCTTTCTTATCATCAGTTTGGACTCCTGGGTCCAAACAAAATGGAGGAGCCAACTGAAAAGGAAAAGTCCAGAATTTAAATTTAGCAATTTATCTTGTCATCCTGGCTTTGTCTCTAACTCCACGAGGTATATGCAAGTCATTCCACTGCTCCTGACCTGGCTTCTCATTCCTCTGGACAACGACAAGCCTAGACTGGATGCTCTCTAGTGCATGGGTCCCCAACCCCCCAGGCTGTGGACTGGTACTGGTCAATGGCCTGTTAGGAACTGGGCCACACAGCAGGAGGTGAGTGGTGGGAGAGCACACATTAGAGCCTGAGCTCTATCTCCTGTCAGATCAGCAAATGCATTAGATTCTCACAGGGGTGCAAATCCTACTGAGAACTGTGCATGTGAGGAATCTAGGTTCTGCGCTTCTTATGAGAATCTAATTCCTGGTAATCTGAGGTGGAACACTTTCATCCTGAAACCATCCCCCACCCAGTCTGTGGAAAAATTGTCTTTCACAAAAGTAGTCCCTGTTGCCAAAAAGGTTGGGGACTGCTGGTCTAGTGTCTTTTCTGAAGGTCTGTCACTTTGTGATTCTAAAGGGTACCCAGTGCACCTTTTATACGACCCATGCAGGCCTGTCTTCCTTGCTAAACCCCAGAATGAAAACCAAATTGGTTCAGCGGTCTGCTGGGCAGCTATTCCCACTGTCCTTGGGATCACTGGTCTTCATCCTAGGAATCCTGCCTATAGAGAGCTCTCAATGTACTTAGAATGTTCCAGAGCCTCCTTGGCTATAAGAGGACAGGTTTGCAGGCCAACAAGCAAGAGGATCTAACAGCATCATTGGCCAACAAATATTCTCCTTTCTCACAGTACCCAGTATTGAAGGAATTCAATGGTGTATACCCTTTTTATAAAAATTTTATTTAATTGCAGCTATGGCTTTCCATAACAGGTTGCTGCAAAAGTAATTGTGATTTTTTGCCATTTCTTTTAATATTAATTGTAGGCTATAGGATACATCTCCAAAAGACTAGCCATCAAGTTTCACTATCATATTATTATGATAAAATTACCAGCATTTTCCAGGATTATTTTCTTCAAAACAGTCACTCCCTCATCAATGCAACTTAAAGAAAACTGACGTTTATTTAAGTTGCCACTTTTCTGGTATTGAAGTCCTAGTTTGTTTGTATTTTGAGACGGAGTCGCGCTCTGTCACCCAGGCTAGAGTGCAGTGGCGCGATCTCGGCTCACTGCGCACTCCACCTCCTGGGTTCACGTCATTCTCCTGTCTTAGTCTCCCAAGTAGCTAGGACTACAGGCGTCCGCCACCATGCCCAGTTAATTTTTTGTATTTTTAGTAGAGACGGAGTTTCACCGTGTTAGCCAGGATGGTCTCGATCTCCTGACCTTGTGATCTGCCTGCCTCGGCCTCCCAAAGTGCTGGGATTACAGGCGTGAGCCACCGTGCCCGGCTGGTATTGATTTTTAAAATTCACATTTATTGAACCTGACTTTTGAAAATTCCCTTTTGAAGAGATGGTACAATTTATGTCTTTATTTTTAAGCTATTTTGAAGTCTAAGTCTCACTGAAATGTAAATATTGGAAAGCTGTATTTCCTAGCCTATGTACACGGGTACATATTACCTAGCATATGTACTTAGCCTATGTACATTCTGCTCTGTAGAGCAGACCGTCTCTACAACCAGCTGGGCAGAATTTGCTGGAAAAAGAAAAATAAATAATTTATATTTTATTAAATTATACAACAAAAAAATATTAAACTGTACTTAAAGTTTTAAAGTATTTTCTGCCCTCCATATAATATCTTGCTTTAATGGCAAATTAGAAACCTGATTTGTGAAAATACAGATTGATCTACAATGTTCATCTGAAGGCAACTTCTACACAGTAATTCTTTGTTTTATATAAGGATTCACCATAAAGTCTATTAAACAATAAGCTTCCTGGCTGGGCACAGTAGCTCACGCCTGTAATCCCAGCAGTTTGGGAGGCCAAGGCAGGTGGATAATAGGCCAGGAGACCGAGACCATCCTGGGTAACACGGTGAAACCCTGTCTCTACTAAAAATACAAAAAATTAGCCGGGCATGGTGGCAGGCGCCTATAGTCCCAGCTACTCAGGAGGCTGAGGCAGGAGAATGGCATGAACCCAGGAGGTGGAACTTGCAGTGAGCCAAGATCACACCACTGCACTCCAACCTGGGCGACAGAGCTAGACTCCGTCTCAAAAAACAAACAAACAAACAAACAAAAAATATAACGAGCTTCCCTAATGAATTTTACTTGATACTAAGACGTTCAGCTATCCCTGACAAATGGTTTTAATTAGTAAATTATCTTAAAATATACTTAAACAGAATAATGTAAATGTAATAATTCTTTAGGAAAGGGAATGCAATGGCCAGCTGAAGAGAATACCTGCATGGCTCAGGCAATTGGAGGTGGATGGCATCATCTACAATAAACATCTCTGAAGCTCACTAAGCCATAAATGATGGCCAAATAGATCAGTGTGAACTAAGGCTAAACGACTTTCAAGCAACTATCAAATCATCCCAGCATTTTCTTAACTCTTCCTTTAGGAAAAATCAACTTGTATTAAAATAGTGTTGACAATGTTTTAAAAGGAAGTGTAAAAAAAAAGTAAACATTTTAGATTGCATTTAATAAAACATGAACCAAAAGCAGTAAGGTAGAATAAAGCACATGTGTAAAAATGTTGGTGGAATGGTAGCAAAATGTTAAATTATCAAATATATGCCTCTTTCCATAATATGAATTATTTCTGTGCTGTTATAGTCCTAATTACCATATCAATAATGTTTTCTTCATAAAACGTGCATTCTTTATAGAGATGTTGGAAACAATAAAAAAAAAAAATTCACTCATATTGTCACTACCCAGAGATAATCACTTGCCATTATAATGTATTTCCTTCTGGCTTTTTCTGGGTGTGTACAAGAGGCTCAGTTTCTCCCCTTCTCCTCTTAAACTGCAGCGCACTACATGTTTACTGTCTCTATTTTACAGTACTTCTTGAACATTCTGGGGAGAGGAGAATTGCTGAAACAAATTAATTAAGTGATGTGTTCTGCTTAAAAACAGATGGTCTAGTTAGCAGGCTGGGAAGAAGGTGCCAAAAGAAAAACTGTTCTGGGGGCAGGTGAGGCAGATCTTAAGAGAAGCCCATCTTCCTTCACTGGCATTGGAAACATACACCAATTTGGATGCCTAAATTTGTCAGTAGGAGACAGAACTACCTAATCTCAAAAATTCAAAAAGGCCTTTAAAGATCCCCCCTCACACCTCCTGACAGACCACCCCTATCTCTACTCCACAGCAGCCTTCCCACACAAAGACAGTCTATCCCTGACAAATGGTTTTAACATCTACACCTGACATTTCCAGTGACTAGGAAATCACTGTTTCTCGAGACAGCCTATCCCATTTTGCATTGTTCAATTATTCCTTATATGCAGCTGAAATTGGCATCCCTATAACTTTTATCCATTGATCCCAGTTCTGTCTTTTGGAGTAACACAGAATAAGCCAATACCTTTTCTACAATAGCTCTGTAAGACAATATATTCTTCCCTGAGACAGGGTACCTACTTCTTCAATAGCTCCTCTAGTTATTTATTTTACATATTCTGTTATCCTGACCTACAGGATATGCTTTGATGTTGCAAAATTCTTCCGAAAAGACTTGCTACAACTGAATACATTTCCCAAGATGAAGGCACTGTGGAGGCAGACTCCAAGATAACCCCCATTGATCCCCACTCCCTGTATCCCATCTTGTGGGATTCCTCTGAATCCCCCTGAGTGTGGATGGGAGCTGAGATTTTCTTCTAAGTCTATAAGAATATGGCAAAAGTGAGGGGATACCACTCCCATGATAACATCATATAAGAGTGTAATCTATCTTGCTAGGAGATGCCTTTGCTCAAAGACTCTCCCTTGTTTGCTTTGAGGATGCAAGTGGCCACGTTGGGAAGGTCTACATGGCAAGAACTGAGGATGGCCTCCAGGCAAAATCCAGGAAGAAACCAAGGCCCTCAATCCAATAATCCACAAGTAACTGAATGCTGTCAACACCACATGAGCTTAGAAGCAGATCCTTCCCCAGTTGAGCCTCCAATGAGATTGCAGCCCCAGCTGACACGTTTGTTGCACCCTTATAAGACCCTGAAGCAGAGAACCCAGCTAAACCATGTCCAGTCTCCTTACCCACAGAAAATGAGATAATAAATATGTGCCACTTTAAGCCTCTAAGTTTATGGTAATATTATTATGCAGCAATAAGTATCTAATACATCCATGACATTGACATATACAAAAAGGCACTAATCCGAGTTCTTCGAAGAGAGTAGCTTTCGAAACACAAAATTTCCTTCCAGATAAAATCATTCTAAAAGCAAACAGTGCAAAATCAGTTAGTGAGTCAAATAGGAAACCTGTTTGCCAGCACTTAAGGATCATGTACTCCCATCTACCATGCAGGAAATCATTTACCTGTTACGCTAAAAAATATAGCTCTGTCAGGAGGTAAGATAAACATCCACAGTAAGAAAAAACTATGCTATTTCTCTTACTGTACATAATTCTTACATTTCTTGCATAGAACAGGAAAATAATAAATAAAACTTTCTTTTGCTGGGAAAAAATGTCAACTTTTTATTTCTCTTAATTCCCTGTAGTCATTTAAGAATCGCTTGAGCCAAGTAAATCTTCAAACTGAAATAGTATAAAACATTTTAAGAGTCAATTTGTAGGTCAAATAAGTATTCTGTGCCAATCTTGTAAATAAAAATATAGAAAAGTGGAACTAAAGGCAAAATAACAACAAAATCTGCTGTTCCCAGGATCAGAATATGCTAAAAGAGAAAATTACAGTCAAACCTTTCCCCCACGCCACAGAGGATTTATCAATCACCTGGAACAAGTAGATAAAGGTTATTTTCCCACAGGCATAAAAATACACGTTAATAACTTTAAGAACAGTTTCACAACAATAGGTTTTTGCTATAGATTTCTAATAACTTAAGGCACTTCTCAAAAGCTAGGCTATAAACCCAACTACTTCAAATAGCAATGTAAATTTTTAAACAAATCAGATACTAGATTTCCAGGACAGAAATCTGTAAATAGAAACAAGTGGAGGATTATGTATCTGAGATAGGACATGTAGGAACAATGTATTACTACATAACCCAGGCAGTCTTACTGGACATAAGAACTTGGTTTGCAAAGAGAGAGGGGAATAAGAGCAGGGTGGATGGCTTCATTGGCCTCAGACACAGTGTCACTATTCTATGATGTGAATATTCAAGTCCTTTGCTCTATTACAGGAACCAGTTGGAATGTTAAAGAAATAAACCATAACAAAAAGGATGCAAATCTATAACCTCTTACAGAAAGTGGATGGAATAATACACTCAGATGGTAAAGTTTTGTTTTTCATTTCATTTATAATAAGCTTAGCTGGAAATGCTAGAAATAGGAATGAATGCATGGGTAACCTTGGTTTTTATACTTATTTCATTTATTCTCAGAGAAGAGAGACTCATGCATCTATCTAGAGTGTTTTTTTTTTTTATCTCATTTGACTTTACTCAGTAATTAATTTACACAGAGTAAAGCACTTACTCCTTTTAATTCATTCTCTGCCATTACCCTCAATTACTTACATCTCTATATCCATCTACCATATTCCCAGAAATGTCTCCTGCTACGTCTCTACAACCAGCTGGGCAGAATTTGCTGGAAAAAGAAAAATAAATAATTTATATTTTATTAAATTACACAACAAAAAAATATTAAACTGTACTTAAAGTTTTAAAGTACTTTCTGCCCTCCATATAATATCTTGCTTTAATGGCAAATTAGAAACCTGATTTGTGAAAATACAGATTGATCTACAATGTTCATCTGAAGGCAACTTTTACACAATAATTCCTTGTTTTATGTAAGGATTCACCATAAAGTCTATTAAACAATGAGCTTCCCTAATGCATTTTACTTGATTCTAAGACATCCAATAAATATTTTTCAGAAACAGAAACATTTCTAAACATTATACATAGTATAATCTTGTTTCTATAAGAAATGTTCAAAATATGTAATAATTTTGTTTTCTATGGATAAAAAAGACAAAGAAGAATATCCCTAGATTCTCTCTGGCAGTAAGATTGTGAGGAACTTTCACTTTCCATGTTCCATGTTATATATACTGTAATATTGCCATTATATTAGCACAGTCTGATAGAAATATAATGGGAGCCACATACACAAATTTAAATATTCGAGTAGTCATATTTTTAAAAAGTAAAAAGAAACATGCAAAATTAATAATATATTCTATTTAATCCAGCATGTTCAAATTTTATCATTTCTACATGTGATAAACGGAAATAAATACCAGTAAGATATTTTCTCTTTTTTTGATTTAACTTCCAAAATCTGGGGTGCATTTTATACAACACACCTCAATTTGCACTCACCACAGTTCAAGTGTTCATTAGCTACCCGTGGCTAGTGGCTACCATATTAGATGGTCTGGTCTACATTAGTTATGAAATACTTTTGTAATCAGAAAAAAAGTATATATTTTAAAATTAGGATTCCAAGGCCGGCACAGTGGCTCATGCCTGTAATCTCAGCACTTTGGGAGGCCAAGGTGGGTGGATAACCTGAGGTCAGGAGTTCAAGACCAGACTGGCCAACATGGTGAAACCCCATCTCTACTAAAAATACAGAAAAACTAGCCCAGTGTGGTGGCAGATGCTTGTAATCCTAGCTGCTTGGGAGGCTGAGGCAGAAGAATCGCTTGAACCTGGGAAGCGGAGTTTGCAGTGAGACCAGATCACACCACTGTACTCTAGTCTGGGGATCAAGAGCAAAACTCCGTCTCAAAAAAAAAAAAAAAAAAAAAAAAAAAAAAAAAAATTAGGATTCAATTTACTTAACAGTTATTTTTCAAGAAACTTTCCAGAAATATGTCACAGCATGTGGTGCAGCCGAAGGGTGTCAGTGCTAGGAGCAGAGAGGCCCAGTCTCCGGCACTACCTAGCTAGCAGTGGGACCCTGATACTGCATATAATCTCTCTTAGATTGTTTCTTCATCTCTAGTTTCTTCAAGTGTCAACATATCAACAAGATATGAAGACAGCCATAAACATCTATAAAAAACACACAAAAAGGAAGCCAAAGTATTATAAGAATGTTGTCAGCTTTGAAGATGCATGCCATGTGCCCTTACTTCTGTATATATACCACTTTACATAATGTTTACTTGGTTTGTTTAAAAAGAGTGTACCAGCCCAAACAGATTCCAGAACAGAAGTTGTTTTTATTTCATTTCCTCTCAGTGTCCTCTTGCTGACTTGGCAAATTATATATGTAACAAGTAATTACCAAAACTATCCAAATAAATATTTCATAATTTTTTCCCATTGACCTTTTGGAGTCCCTGCATTGCAGCAGTACTCACGGAATTAAGAAATAAAAATAGTGAGAATTCCCATTACAGGGTAACAATTCCCTAGAGCCAATTCCCTCAGAATCAGCTATATTTCAGAATTCAGAATTTCTTGGCTTCTAGAAAAGTGAAACAGTTCTAATGATGTATATGATGTAATACGCTGGTGGGGTCTGCAGACATTAATAAAAAACATTAAAATACCTGTGTCAAATGCCTTAATAGTCATATTAAATAACATATGTAAAGATTAAATGGTCTCATGTTAACCTAGTCCAATTTGGCTGTCAAACTAATTTAAGGTCACAGTAATCAACAATCGCCACCAAATGAGTTACAAAAGGCTTTCAAAACTTTCTATACTTCATAATTACAGATGAGTGCTTGTGGACCTGTATTAGTCACCAGGCCTTTTATTTAATCTAAATACTACAAAATGGCTGGGCTAAAGCTGAGATGTCTGGCACCATAATGCCACCTTGTAAGCTTGGATATATTCCCTTTCTTTAGGAGAACAGGAAATGACCATTTGATACCCAGAGGCCCTATCACCAGCTGGGACTGTAGAGGTAGAGCTAGAATAGATAATATTGGCATACGTGTATATTGGATGAACAGTAACTTTAAAAGCAACATTTAATTATTGCTCATTTTCATTATTCCCCCTATCAGACTTAATATTAGTTAACACTAGAGTTGTTCCTGCACATAAAATAATCTCATTCATTAGAATGTCCAAATGTCTGAGATAGGACCACGGGCTCTTAAGCCTGACTCCCTGGCTACACTTATGAGGTATGTACCCCTCAGCAAGTCTTAATTGGTTTGTACCTTGTTTTTTAGGATGTAACAGAATCTTCCTTGCAGACATGTTGAAATGTTCACAAGAGCTACTTACTCTGTGCTAAGTGCAGAGAGCTATACTGCGCACTAGGAAAGCACTCTAGAGAGTCACAGGTGGGTGCCATGCTTCACACCTGTAATTCTAGCACCTTGGGAAGCTGAGTCCAGAAGTCAGAGATCAGCTTGGACAATATACAAAGACACCCATTTCTTAAAAAATTTAAAAACCAGCCAGCTATGATGGTGCACACCTGTTGTCCCAGCCACTTGGGAGGCTGAGGCAGAAGCATACTTTGAGCCCTGGAGTTTGAGGCTGTAGGGAGCTATAATTGTACCACTGCACTCCAGCCTGGGCAAGAGAGCAAGACCCTGTCTCAGAAAAAAAAAAAAAAAGTCAAAGTTTTTGTTAGTGTTGTCGACAATGATCTCTAGACAGTGGTTCTCCACTGGGGGCGATTCTGCCCACCATGAGACATTTGGCAATGTCTGGAGACATTCTTGGTTATCACAACTGACATCTAGGACATAGAGGCCAGGGATGCTGCTAAATATCTAACAATGCGCAGGACAGCCCTACAATATAAGGAATTATCTGACGCAAAATATCAACAGTGCCAAGGCTAAGAAATTCTGCGTTAGACTGTTTTACTTGATAGATAAGGAAATGTGCATCAAAGTGGCTAAGTAGTTTTTCAGGTTAAAGCTGGGTTGAAAATTTTCATCTTCTTATTTGCAGTAGGTTTTTCTCTAGTGGTAAAGACAAAATGCACCTCCTCCAAAATGAAAGAATCGAAAAGTCACTCCCAAATACCAGCCAGGAAAAAAAAATACAGTCTAGACTCAGTAATGATTCCCTGGCCCTACAGTGGAACTCAGGGGTCAGCAAACTATGGCCTGTGGACCAAATCCACCCTACTGATGTTTTTGTAAACACAGTTTTACTGAAACACAGCATGTCTGTTAGTGAATACATTGTCTATAGCTGCTTTTTATTTGCTACAACAGCAAGAGATTATATGAATAAATGCAACAGAGATTGTATGGCCTGGAAAACCTGAAATATTTATTATCTACCCCTTGACAGAAAATGTTTGCTGACTTCCTGCTATATAAGAAACTATTTCAAATATTCCTCATTAGTTACAACATGAATGGTTAAAAAGAGCTTTAAGCACAAACGTATCTGGGTTAACGTGAAGGAAAACAAAATGTTCAGCAATACACAACTACGGCAACACAGTTAGGATACCTATATTTACCTGTATTCTGTCTTCAAATAATGGCTAGCTCGCTCCAAACACGTTATTAAATCTGTCATAAAGATAATTGCAATTAATAGAATGAATAAAAACTAGGACACTCATGCTGCAAAGCTTTCTTTTAAAATAAAAGAGAGTTTTGAAAAAGCATTTATTCACTACATAGTTATCAGAATTTTCCTTTTAAAAATAAATACTGAGAATCACCGTCTCCAGTATTTAATGAGTTCCTTTCATTTCTTTCTTCTGCCATCAACGATAGTTTTTCAACAAAATCATCTAGTCAATGATAGCAGAATCTATAGTCAACAGAAAAAAAAAAAACACTCTTTAGTTGCTACCCACTATATGCCTACAAAGACCATATGTATAATGTCCCCTGGCAGGAAGAAAACAATTTCAAAAGCCCAACATAGTTCATAGAGAAGGTTCCCACAAACATTTTAATTCAATAATTTAGCCAGTGGCATCTGGTGACAGAGAAGCAGACCTTTACCAAGAAAACCTATAGCATATAAGCTTTCATCAACCAGGACCAAGCATTTTAAAAAAGAAGGTGCTCTCTGGAGTAATTTACAGAACGAAACAAATATTCAGCAATAGAGGCTAAGATACAGTGGATCTCAACGCATTTAGATCAACATAGTATGGTTTCCAAAATATTCCACACTTACTGTAATAGTTCTTTGGGAGCAGTATATGGTGAATACTGGCCATACAGGCATCTGCTGTGATTAGTCAGAGCTGATTGGCTAAGAGGAAAATGAATGGCACACCTCATTCCCAGAGCTTTTCTGCCAGAGAGGACTGAGAGCAGAAACCTCTATGACTACAGGCAGACATGGTATGGGCTGCACAGTAATTACTCTGAAGCACAAGAGCCCAGGACAGGAGCCCATGCTTCTCTCTCTCACCAGTGTTCGTGTTTCCCTTCCTTTCTCTCCCATACAAGTTTCAGCTTTACAGTTATTACACTGTGTGACACTGACTTCCTCATCCTGCATACACTGTGCATGCCTCCTGTGCTGGTGTACTGGTGTGTGTTGGGGAGGGGCTCACTGGTGAAAAGGCTTGCCCCTGAGCTAGGAAGGAGGTTGGGGGAGGGCTCCAGAGAATAGTGAGGACAGAAGATCAGGAGGGGAACACAAAGGTGTGCTATCTAAGGTTTTTAGGAAAAATGAGATGAATCCTATCCCATATAAGTCAACTGATCAATCAAACATGCTAATAAGTTTGTCCAACCCATGCCCCTTGGGTCACATGCAGCCCAGGATGGCCTTGGATGCAGCCCAACACAAATTCCTAAAGTTTCTTAAAACATAATTATAAAATGTTTTGCAATTTCTTTTTAGCTCATCAGCTATTGTTAGTATATTTTATGTGTGGTCCCAAGACAATTCTTCTTCTTCTAATGTGGCCCAGGGAAGCCGAAAGATTGGACACCCCTGTGCTACAACATGATTCAGTTCAGACCTAACCATTTACAAAGATACAATGTTCCTCCTCTCCCTCATATCTTAATTCTGCATCCCAGACTACAATTATGTCCAGGGATGGTGATAAGTAGCAAGAGGAATTCTTACACAGATAAGGTTTAGACATTTGTGTTGATTCTTCTGTTATACCTGGATGGTCACTGCTCGCATAGGTCAGCAAAAAACCCCGGCCAGATATGTGGGATCCACTCTCAAAGCGGACGGTGACTTCACTTGTGTTCAACAGGAGTTCTCTGGGAACAGTCATACTTCCACAGTATGGACCTGAAAACAAAGCACAGTTGTGGCACACTTCAAAATTTATACCAGCACAAATGATTAGTATATGGCATTCTTTTTCCTTTAAAGGCCAAATTTACTAGACAATACATATGTATGATTATAATCTTTACCAACTGAAATTTAGCTTGACGCTCGGACTCATAATTTCTGACGGATTGTGAACTAAGCCAAGGGGAAAGTGGCTTACTCTAGACAAGCAATAGGCTGGAACTAGTTAACTGTGAGCAACCCAAGAGTTGGTTTTGTTTTTTTAAAAAGACAAAGGTTAAACACATTAGGTAGTAAAGAACATTTTATTACAAAAACGTTATTTTAGGGGCCTCCTAAATTTGCTCAAATAAACTAAAAAAAAATCATCTTTTTCACGGAAGCTTTAAAGTTAAAAGACTTGGCAAAGCATGGTAAGAATTTTATTCACATGCAGCATACACACTGATATTTCCTTTACAGTAACTTCTGGTTAACCCCCCCAATTCATTTTGATTTATAAAACGTATACAAAAGCAGAATAACTTCTAAAGTGTTTTGAAATATTATAGTACAAATTATACAATTAAGGGTATAACATTGTTTCTGAAATAAGTTGCTTGAAAAGCAACAGGGAACTCAATGAACTTTCAAAGGGCAAAATTACATTTGGAGCTTAAAATAACAAAAACTCTTTCTAAGACTACGCAAACTAAAGTTCAGCTTTTAAATTGTCATTTTGAAAGTAACATACGCAGGACAATCTCTATGAAACAGGGATTAGCAAGCAAACTTTGAAGAGAGGTATTATTTATTAACTTCTCTCAAAATAGTATGGAAATAGTGGCAACAACAATCATGACCAAGGAAGAAGAATAAAAGAAAAAGACTGCTCCAAGTCAATATGAATAAAACTGGGTTATATTGACCAGAACCAATAGGGACAAAACTGCTTGATATGGTTTTGCTGTGTCCCCACCCAAATCTCATTTTGAATTCCCATGTGTTGTGGGAGGGACCTGGTGGGAGGTAATTGAATCATGCGGGAAGGTGTTTCATGTGCTGCTGTCATGATAGTGAATAAGTCTCATGAGATCTGATAGTTTTTTAAAAAGGAGGTCCCCTGCAGAAGCTCATTTCTCTTGTCTGCCACCATGTGAGACGTGCCTTTTGCCTTCCACCATGATTTGAGGCTTCCCTAGCCATGTGGGACTGTAAGTCCAATTAAACCTTTCTTTTGTAAATTGCCCAGTCTCAAGTATGTCTTCATCAGCAGCACGAAAACGGACTAATACAGTAAGTTGGTGCCAGTAGAGTGGGGTGCTGCTGAAAAGATACCCGAAGATGTGGAAGTGACTTTGGAAATGGGTAACGGGCAGAGGTTGGAACAGTTGCAGGGCTAAGACGACGGGAAAATTTGGAACTTCCTAGAGGTCCATTGAATGGCTTTGCCCAAAATGCTGACAGCGATATGGACAATAATGTCCTGGCTGAGGTGGTGTCAGATGGAAATGAAAAACTTGTTGGGAACTGGAGCAAAGGTGACTCTTGTTCTGTTTTAGCAAAGAGACTGGTGGCATTTTGACCCCGCCCTAGAGATCTGTGTAACTTTGAACTTGAGAGAGATGATTTAGGGTATCATGTGGAAAACATTTCTAAATAGGAAAGCATTTATGAGGTAACTTGGGTGCTGTTAAACGCATTCAGTTTTATAACGGAAGCACAGCATAAAAGTTCAGAAAATTTGCAGCCTGACAGTGCAATAGAAAAGAAAATCCCATTTTCTGAGGAGCAATTCAAGCCAACTGCAGAAATTTACATAAGTAATGAAGAACCCGAATGTTAATCCCCAAGACAATGGGGAAAATGTCTCCAGGTCTTCAAGGCAACCTCTCCCATGTCTTCATGTCAGAGGTCTTCAAGGCAACCTCTCCCATCACAGACCCAGAGACCTAGGAGGAAAAAGTGGTTTCCTGGGCCAGGCCTAGGGTCCCTGTGCTGTGTGCAGCCTAGAACTTGGTGTCTTGTGTCTCAGCTGCTCCAGCTATGGCTGGAAGGGGACAACGCAGAACTCAGGCCATGACTTCAGAGGGTGCAAGCCCCAAGCTCTGGCAGCCTCCATGTGGTGTTGAGCCTGTGGGTGCATGGAAATCAAGAATTGCGGTTTGGGAACCTCTACCTAGATTTCAGAAGACATATGGAAATGCCTGGATGCCCAGATAGATGTTTGCTGCAGGGGCCCTCATGGAGAACCTCTGCTTGGGTAGTGCAGAAGGGAAATGTGAGGTCAGAGCCCCCACAGAGAGTACCTACTGGGCACCATCCAGTGGAGCTGTGAGAAGGGGGCCACCAGACCCCAGAATGGTAGATCCATTGCACCTGAAAAAGCTGCAGACACTCAACACCAGCCTGTGAAAGCAGTGGGGAAGGAGGCTGCACCCTGCAAAGCCACAAGGGCAGAGCTGCCCAAGCATGGGAACACCTCTTGCCTCAGCGTGACCTGCATGTGAGAGATGGAGTCAAAGGAGATCATTTTGGAGCTGTTAAGATTTGACTGCCCCACTGGATTTCAGACTTGCATGGGGCCTGCAGCCCCTTTGTTTTGGCTAATTTATCCCATTTGGAATGGCTGTGTTTACCTAATGCCAGTTTTCAAATCACATTTTTTATATTAACCCACTAATACACCCCTCCCCAAATGGTGATGATGATAGTAATCTCTCCTTACATTTCTATAGCATTCCAATGAGTTCTAATGAAAACTGTAGGTGGCCAGGTACGGTGGCTCATGCCTGTAATCCCAGTACTCTGGGAGGCCAAGGTGGGCGGAGTCAGGAGGTCAGGAGTTCAAGACCAGCCTGGTCAACATGGTGAAACCCCATCTTTACTAAAAATACAAAAAAATATTAGCCGAGCATGGTGGTGGGTGCCTGTAATCCCAGCTACTCTGGAGGCTGAGGCAGGAGAATTGCTTGAAACTGGGGGGTGGAGGTTGCAGTGAGCCACAATCCCACCACTGCATTCTAGTTTGGGTGACAGAGCAAGACTGCATCTCAAAAAAAAAAAAAAACCCCACAAAACACAAACTGTAAGGTAAGCAAGTCTAAATTGATTATCAGCGAGAACTTGTTTAGATTTTTTTTTGTTTAGATTTCATGAAACAGTTGAAAGGAGAAGTTGCTAAAAGTATACATATTTTACACAAATAAGAGTGTATACTATCATACTAAGTTGTGCAATATATATGATTTCCTAGACCAAAAACATATAAATATAGTAAAACTCTAATTTGGTTTCATCCTCCCAGTTATGATAAGCATGTAAATATTTCTGGAAGCAGATCAAAGAAGGAAAATGTAAACACATACCCCTTTAATTACCCTTACCACACAGACATCAATCCCTTTCATATTTTTATTACTGTGCTGCAAAATTGTAACTACATTCTAGAGGGGGTAGGAGATACCCTCTCTGTATAAACATCATCATTGAGAGGATATTTGTTTTTCTTTTTTCTTTTTTTTTTTTTTTTGAGACAGGGTCTTTCTCCTGTCACCCAGGTTGGAGTGCAGTGGCGTGATCACGGCTCCTCCTGGGCTCAAACAATCCTTCCACCTCAGCCTTCCAAGAAGCTGGATTACAGGTGTGTGCCACCACGTCCAGCTGATTTTTTGTAGAGATGAGGTCTCACTATGTTGCCCAGGCTGGTCTCAAGTTCCTGGCCTTAAGCAATCCTCCCGTCTCAGCCTCCTCAAAGTGCTAGGATTATAGACATTGGACACGGTGCCTGGCCTGAAGAGTTATTTTGATCATTTCATCATGATTACAAACATCAGAATAGTGAGTTTTAATTCAGGGTGGGGGACAGGAGTTGAATACTGGCTGTAGTATTGCCTATGGCAAAACATCCAAATTATTGCCTGCCTCAAGGTCTGACAGATGAAAATTCCTTTTCATAGACTAGAAGTTAACAATTACATTCCTAGAGTTAAAAGGCAAGAGAGAAAAATGGAAAAATATGATAGCAGTGAGGGGAAAAATAATTAATGGGAAACCACGGAAAGATCCTGGGAGTCTGTCCTAAGCAATGTCCTCAGTGTTCCGCCAGACTCCTTTAAGGATTATCTCTCGTCTTCTGAAAAGAAAATCTTTCTCCACTCACCCCTGCCCACATGATATACTTCACTGTTGGTCCTCTCCAAAGGTCTCCTGACTTTTAAAAAGGATCTACACCTATATTTAAATATTTACAAAGACAGTTTCATTGGAAATCCACATGAGAGCTCGGTGACTTCTAACTTTGATTGTGGTTATATTCTTGGGCTCAGGCAGTGTTTAGATTGGCAAACGTACTTCAGTTCAGTCAGACTGAAATCCAACCCCTCCCTAAAAATAGGACACACAATTTTGCATGGATGTTTGCTTCAGAACCAGCAGTGCTATGTGTTTTATAGCACTTGGACTTGCCATCTAACTTCCTACATTCTCTCACTTTTATCTATCTGTCTGCATGGCAGGTTCCATCTTACTTTGCAGTCACAAATTCCCATCACACTGGGGCACAGCAGTTAATCAAGTAGGCAGAAAAATCAGGAAAAAAGAAAAACTTTTATCTTTTGTGGAATGTAACTGGCGGCCCTATATTGTGGGAAGAACTATCAGAAATACCAAATGGAACAGCCCTGTGGCATTTGGCACCAGACATGAGACTTCAGCAGACAATGGGCTGATTCCTTGGACAAAGGGAATAAAGGGCCAGGAACTATAGGAATTGCCTTCTTTGAGCACAGTAGGCCAGTTCCTCTCAGCACATTCCCTGTTTAGGGCTACTATTTCATTAGCAGCTGCAAGGGAAACCCTTTATCTTTCCATGTGTGAATAAAAGAAAGCTGTCCTACAAGGAAGAATAAACTGTCTGCTACAAGCCAAGTCTGAAATCCTCTTGATTCTCTGGCAATCTGACAGTCTGTACGACAATGTATAGTACTTCTCTATTCTCCTGGACTGTGTGCCCA